GGCCGTTCCCTCCGGCTGGGGCGGCCCCGCGGGCGGCCGGGCTCGCTGCAGGGCCGTTGCGGGGAGTCGGGGATGCTCCTCCACAGACAATCCCGTTTTTACAGCCGGGAGGGCAAAGTCTGTTTCAGAAAGCCGGGGGGGGGGAGGCAGGCGTTTGCCAGGGCGGCGGCAGGAGCTCGGTGCACCGCGTTCGGTCGGCGCCTCCCTGGAGGGGGCGGGCGGCTTTGCCAGGTCTGGCTTCGCCGCGTCTTGCTTTCGGTGGCCGCTCTATTCTGGTAGCTTTGCTTTTGAGTATGGGGCCTGGTCGTGCGAAGCCCCCCATACGCAAGGAGTACTGGGGCCGGCGTGTCGCTTCGCCTCTCTGGAGCAGCTCCCCTTGCCTGCCGCATTTCAGCTCGGTAGCCAAGCGCCGCTGTGCTGGGCTTTCGGCTTCAGTCCCGTCCCTGAGGAGGAGGTGTTACTTGGGTGTTATTTCATGCGGTTTCTAGGTGAACTGCCTAAACTGCAATGCTTTGGGTTTTTTTCCTTTCTTTTTTTTTTTTTTTTTGGTCATTGTTGGACTCTTGTTTAAAATCTCAGCAGCAGAATTAAAGCAGTTTTCATTATCGCAACTGTCCACAACCATTTGCAGACTTACTGGAGAAGATTTGCACTTTAAATGACTCTTTTTAAAAGTCTGGTTTGCGCACTACCTACCTACAGACTAGAAAAAACTTATCAAGCTACACAAAATTATATTAGAAGCAAAATCTGATTTTAGAGGTATTTTTTATACCGTACCAGCAGGTAAAACACCCTGCCAGAACACTTCTCTGTAGGACTTGGCGTTGTACTTCTAATTCAGTTCTTAACACTCGGCAGCGTTCTGAAAACCAGAAAGGGAAGTGATCTGACAAGGAGAACGTGGCCAACGTATTGATGAAATACCTCCTTCATATGAGGAACATGATACACGGTTGTCACGAACTGCGGTAGCTCGGCTTGGGTTTTGTACCACAAGGATGAGTAGGGGCTATCACCAGCCACGTTCTGCAATAGCCTTGGCGTTCTCCCAGGATTGATCAATTTCATGTGTTTAGGTGTAAAATCATAAAAATGGTTTGTTCAGAATGTACCAGTCTGTGCTAGATAACGCAGGCTATGAAAAGCTTAGTGTTCCACTTCTTGCCGGGCTTTCCATTTAATAATGACTTAAATTCAGGGTCGCAGTCCTCGCCATCAGCATTTCTGGGAAGTTTGGTACAAGAAAGATGTTCAAACCTGCAAATGACAGCTTTCAAAGCTGGACTTAATTTTTTTAAGGTGGACTTAATTTCACTAGCGGTCAACAAGAATAAAAAGCATAAAAGAAGAAATACCCTTACTTGGAGGAAATCCTTATTTCCTTGTAGAAAGGAGAGTGGTCGGTTTCTTGGTGAAGTAAAGCTTTGCCAGGTCTCCATGGAACTGGGGTAGTCTTCAGCAGTGAATTCTGAGCAATGGGCTTAAATGGGGTATTTACAGGCAGCGATTTTTGCGATGCTTGTAAATTTTTTTTTTTCCAACAGATTACAAATAATTGCAAACTGATTTTTCAGTTTGCAATTCATGCTATGAATTTTTAATATGACTTTTCTTTAAATTTGTTGCTGAAAAAATCCTGGTAATATTTTTTGGAAATATTTCTAAGAGAGTTTAAGGTAAGTCAGGGATTTGTCTATCTGGTGGAGGCGTTCCACTCTCCTAATGTGCTTTGCTTCTTGTACATACGGGGAGGGGGGTGTATCTTTATTTTTCGAGTTATCTGATCCTGAAAACTTCAGGAGGCAATAAAAAGATACCTTGCATACTCTTTTAAGATGATTGGCACACTCCCAAGCTCGAGGGAAGACAGAATCTATAGTCCTTGCGACGTCTTTGAGGGGCAGAGGTTTGGAAATGCTGTTTCACTCTGTATAAACAAGACAACGAATTCCTAGCTCTAGAAACAATTTTTTTCTTTCCAAATTCGTAAGAAGGCATTTTAAACAGCCTGGATCAGTTTCAAATATAGATACTTTCCTCTAAATTAATTCAGGTAGCGGTCCTGTCCAACTGAATCTATTTCTAACTGATTGGAAATGAATCAGTTAAATGTTGATGAGCATGTAGGTAATGTTACTGTGGCTTAGGTACTTTTTACCTTTACTGCATTAAAAAAGTTCTCTCAACGTACTTTGAGTCGCAGATTGAATTCAGAGTGATATGAATTAAACTGCTCAGTGTATTCTGGCATTTCTGTTAGGCCAGATGCAGTATAATCCTTTCAAGCCATATCGCCTGTTTTCTTTTTAGCATACAGGCAAATAAGTCTTGAGCCATTGCTACTTGACTTCTGGAAACTAGCATTTCTTTGGCTGCTCGTTTAGAAGTGCAGCAGTGTCTTAATCCGCTTGGGGGACACAAAGAAGGTAAAATACTGCTTTTTTTTTTTTTTTTTGGTGCTGCACCAGGTTTCAATTAGTTTGAGACAGCAGTTGTTTTAAGAGGTCACTAGTTATACTGGATTAGTGAAATGACCTGTATGAAACAAAATGACTTCTGAAAGCTGTCTTCCTGCAGTTCAGGTCCATGATTTCACTTGCAACCCAGCTACACAAATAATGGCATCAGCAGAAACGTACGTGGTGGCAAACCGTGGAGGAAGTTGAGGAGAGTGTATCGAGGAGCCTCAGAAGTCAGCGTTTCCTTCTGAATTAACTGGGATGTGAAACTGCGTTTCTTGATACCAGCTAGTGTGTAATATGTTAACAGTCACAATGTAGCTTAGTCTGTAGTAATTCTTGAAAGGATAGCTTCTTGTTAGATGATGGTTTTGAATTCTGTCTTAAGTTCTCTACAGGCCAAATTCTGGGGCTTAATATGAATTTGAACTGAAAGGGCAAGGCTACAGCTTAGGCATGTCGTGTACGTGAGAGGAGCTATGTAAAAATGTTTTCATCACTTCACATTTTTTTCCTAGTCTCTGTTGAGAGCTCGGTGGTTTAAAAACTGGTTCTTTCGCAGATGGCCGTATTTACAAAAAGGTATTATCACGTCAGTTTTCTACTGCACCGATGTTTTCATAATGTTATCTTTAATTTTGTCTTTTAAGTTAAATCAAATTAGAGAAGTTTTACCAAGACGACTGTCTGCGTTTTTTGCTACCCCAAATTTTATTTAAGACTGACTTATTCTCTCCTGAGAGATTAATTAGGCTAGTTCATACTTATCGGACCTCTGATAGAATTTGCTTTCATTCATCAGTATTCTGCAAGAGTCCTCTGGTGGTTGTCTTCAGTGCTTCTGCAAAAGCTTATAAACCATATATTTTTGCTCCATTCAGATAACAGAGGTTTCAGAATTCTACTTTCATTGGTTGTGGAGAGGTATGGTAGTTTTTTTAACACATGCAAAATACATGTCTTAAGGTTTTGTTTAAAAATAGAGTAACAGTGGTGAAGCTCATTCTTTGCCCTCCAGAGCCCTAGGTACAAGGACCTTAGCGAATGACTGTCGCAGACAAGTCAAGTGTCTAGTTTTGGCTGATGGAACAAGTGATGTCATTCCAGAAGAGGGAAAAATTTGGGCATCAGTCTGTGAACCCGAGGTGGTATCTTGATGGCATCTTTAATCTCTGAGTTCTCTAGCATGCTTATCCCCTTTACCTGGTTACTTAACGACCAGGAGAATGCAGAGTGCCCTATCTGCCAGGAACTTCAGGGCTCGCTTGGAAATGTAGTTTGACTTGATGTTCTGTTGAAATCCAAATTATAGTTTCAGCCTTCGGTAATCTTGCCAAATGTGTGCAAAAACCAAGAAATATTTATGAGCTGTTGACCAACATGTCCTCTTTATTATCCTTTCGTGTTAAATGTTTTTCAACATGCGATTCTGTCAGTGGAGATTGGAGGATAATAGGTCAGAAAAATATTTCAGGTTTGAAAAATGACTTCTTTTGTCTACCAGAGGTAGTGGCCAGCATTTGGAAGGGTGGTTTCTGCTCTCTCCCCCCACCCTCGTCTGATAAGTTGTCGTAAGAACAGGCTGTTCCTGTTTGAGGTGAGTTTTGACTTGGTGTCTCTGTAGTCAGCCATCTGTGGCAGCTTCCTTGTCTGTGATGGATTGAGTTCTGTTGTCATTGCTCTATAGTTTGTCTGACATACTATTTTTTCTTCCACAGAGGAGAAGAAAAAACTAGTTCGAGAATTTGATGAGAAACAGCGTGAAGCAAATGAAACGGTAAACATAAGTCTAGACTTCTGGCCTTTCGGACCAGTTGAAACATTGATGCCTTAAAAAGGACAGTACTTCCAAATTTTACTGTCTTTATGGTTCCTATGCTGGCAAGCAAATGTTGTGGGTTTTTTAACGTTTGATTCATTGATTTGATCGACGTGTCTGTGTTTGTCAAGACTGTTGTATGTATCTCTATACATGTATAGATACAGACAAATATTCTTACATGCGTATTTTTTCTTCTGAGTGCTCAGTTTGGATATCGCCTTCCCTTTGTTGAACAAAGGAGGGTGACAGAGGTGCAATTACAATTGCTAGAGATTGTAGGGAGGGCATATAGAAAATCTTTTTTTTCCTTTTTTTTTCTCCCCCCCGCCCCGTCTTTTTTCACGTTGATCTTAACCCAGCTGATCTTTCTATAATAGTCTGATGGTTAAATATCAGGGATCTTGAATATTTGAAACCTCTATTGTATAGGCTTCCTGGAGAGCAGGTAATGTGGACCTGCACAAAAAACCCATGTGACTTGTCTTTTTAAGCAAGATACTAGGGATTAAGCTTTCTTTTCTTAATGTGCTATTTGTTAGGATGTTTTTGAGTCACAGCAGAACATTCTTTTGGGAGAGATGCTTTATTCCTCTAAGTTACTGCGGTTTTTTGACGTGTATCTGTGTAGGTGATGTATGAGATGTAGAGCTCATATCGTGAGAGAGCTCACATTGGTGGACAGCTTTAAGCATTGCGAATTTGTAACAACTGTCACCAAAAGTTGATGTGGAAATTCACACATCCACAATCCCAGGGTTTACAAATCCTAACTCCAGTTGCCAGGCCTGGATGCTCAGAGTATGAATGTAGTGGCTTGCTACCTATGCAGTAGATCTCTGTTGCATAGATATGATGAGAAGCTGATACCCATCCTATAAATGCTTAAATAATATGAAAGTGAGAACTGCACGTATTGACGTTATGGAGTGACGTTTCAGAAAATATCAAGCATTTAAGCTTGGCGATTAATTTTTTTTCTCTCTCTCTCCCCTTTTTTTTTTTTTTTTTTTCCTTGAGGCATTGTGTATCTGAAAATCC